ATCTTTTTTTTTTTTTTTCCGGTACCAGGAATCGAACTTACGATGTTGCGCTTGCCAGGCAGGCACTGTGCCGCTGAGCTAAATCCCCAGCCCCATTTTTTTTGTCTTTTTGAGGCAGGGTCTCGCTATTCAGTGCAGGCTGGACTTGAACTCACTTTGTAGCCCAAGCTGGCCTTGAACTCTCAATGACCCTCCTGCCTCAGCTTCCCGAGTGCTGGGATTACAGGCATGCACCACCAGGCCCGGCTGGGATTTTATCATTTTAAGATAAGTTACTAAATGTATTTGAAGCCTCTCCTCCTCTGTCCATTGGCAATGTACATACAGTCTTATGATGTAGGATTAGTTTTGTGCTGTCTTTTTACTTCTTTTTCAAATATCTTTTATTAGTGCCTATTATTGAATTTCAATATCGTATTTTTATCCATCATGTAACATATTTTGATCATATCCACCTCCAGCACCCTCCTTACACCCTCCTCCATGTTATTCCCTTCCTCTTGTATAATAATAGATCCCCTGGTTCCTCTTTAATAAACTGATCCAGGGGGTGGGGATTTAGCTCAGTGGCACAGCGCCTGCCTGGCAAGCACAAGGTTGTGAGTTCGATTCCCAGTACCAGAACAAAACCAAAAAAATTAAATAAATGAACCAATCCAGCAGGAAAATTAGTGGCTGATTACAGATTGGTTTATGCTTCAGCATAATTGAAGGACAGAGGTGAAGACTGAGTCACCTATCTTTGAACACAATCCCATCAGTAAGGATTTCAGTATTAATCAGAGAGGACAAAAATAGCTCTTGCTAGGACTGTCACAGGATGCAGTTATCTTTAATCTTCATAGCAAATCTGAGATAGAATTGTGTGCACTTTATGGATGGGGAAAGTGAGTCTCAGAAAATTTTAACATTTATAAGAGGAGAAAGAAATAACAAAAACTAGCTGGGCGTGGTGGTGCACACCTGTAATCCCAGCACTCAGGAAGCTGAGGCAGGAGGATCGTTTTGAGTTTGAGAACAGTCTGGGCTACATAGTGAGTTCAAGGCCAACCTGAACTGCATAGCAAGACTCCGTCTTAAAAGAATAAAAAAATAAAAGAAAGAAATAGTGAAAACTAAAGCTTTTTTGGGTGAGAGACGGAGAGGAGAGAGTAATTTTCAAATGTGGCAGATAAGGAACATTACAAGGGTAGAATGTACTAATGCTGATTTTTTTCCTTATTAATTATCATGCTAGAAGGAAATAGTGAGTTTAAAGTGCCACATAGGACAAGTAATGGGAAATACTGCTTGAATGTTAAATCACTATGACTGAGTATATAAAATCTCAAAACAATGGCCAGTTAAGCATATTCAGTGGAAAAAGTCAAACCGTTAGTTTGATACAATATAAACAAAATAATCACTTGGTTGAACACTAATTTTACCTTACACCTCGGGGTTTTTTATTCCATATAGATACAGCCTAGGAAAATGTACTAATGCAAGTACTAACACCACTTGATCCTAAGCATTAGTTTAAACCTAATTTCATTTATTTGCCTCTCACATCCTTCGAAAAGAATAACTTTTGTGGATGAACTAAGTAGAATTGAATGTTGAACCATGTAAGGTGTTATTTGATAATACTATGATTATTCAACATATTATGTGAGCTTTAGAAATTTTAACATAAACCTCTGAATAATTATAAATCAGAACTTTGAGACGCAGTTGGACAAAAAGCTAGAATCCCTTTTCCACATTCAAAACATGGCTATAGGAATTCAAACAAGCAGTTTAAATAGTTTAATAGCTAATATTTAAGACTGTGAAATATGCTTTCATATTTACCTTTTTCGCCATTTTAATTTTTTATGGAAGAAGAAAAAATAATTCTTTTTTAGCTGTAAAAAAGTTGTAAAAGTCATAGCAACAGGGGAAACCTTAAGTGCAATTCCTTTATGTGGTTACATTCTGGCATTAAGAAAATTAGACAGCTTTTCTAAATATCTTTTAATAATCATCAGGATACCCATTGACTTATTTCTTTGACAAGCATCCAGCTTCCTGGAAAGGTACAGAATAACTATGATGAAATCAGAAGACTTTGAAATCTTAAAATGCATTTTCTGGCTGTGCAGACTACATGCTCTTTAACCATTAAAAAAATGATAAAGAGTTCTATACAAGAAGACACTTAATTAAAAAATTTTTTGTGTGTTTCAAATACCAAGACCTATCACATTTGGAAAGATGTAGTTAAAAAATAAGGGAAAAATGCATCCTGAATTTCCTACATTTGAAGAGTGTCTTCACAGAGCTAAGGTAATCAATACTCTAAGTTAGGGCACAAGACAGAAGGTCACAAGGCACACCCTGCTGCACCTTTGTGGGAGAGTCCATACCATGGAACCCACATGCATAGTGTCAAAAGATCACAGGTTTTCCACATGCAAGTCAACATGGTGCTTAAATAGCTCATGATTGATGCAACTTCACTCATAATATGATTTCTGTGTCTTTCAAAATGCTGCTTATTAGTAAAGCTGAGTGTATAGATTGAAATTTGTTTAGCTATTTGGTACTAGGATTCGAACTCAGAACCTTGCACTTGCCAGGCAGGCACTGAGCTACTGGGCTATATCCCCGGCCCTATATTGAAATTTATAATGAGATAGTTCATGGAGTGTTTTCTAAGTCATATATTTTTGACAGGAAATTTTAAACATATGGAATTTTTAGCCTTTTTTTTTTTTTCTGTGAAAATTTGAATCTGACTGCAACTTATGTTTCCAGACCACAATTTTGGTGTTACTGTAAAATGTATTATAAGACTTTTGGTACCAGCTTTATATTTAGCCTATTTAGTTGGCTTAAATGACTACATTAGCTGTTAACAATGAAACTTAATTCATATCAGGTGAGCTAGGCACCACATCTGGGATCTGTTATGACTTGACAGAAACCCTGCCTGAGTTTATTTCAACAAGGAAAGGAAAAGCATTTTAACCACAGCTCTGTTTCAGAAATAATTCTGAATTCAGTTGTTCTGTAGCATCTTGGACCTCATCCATGTATCAATTATTATAAATCTTCCTCCCACATCTTGCCCTCCCAATTTGAAATAAGTACAATGTGTTTTTATCGCTCTCCAAGTATTGAAATTTGCATGTGCTACTCCAAAGCATTTTGCTGTGCATTTGCAAACTTCAGATACATATTTTTTACAAATAGTGTGTCTTCTTGTGAAGAATTACATGTAGAACACTTTGTTGTTAATAGTTATTTAAATTATTTACTGGCTTTTTCTAGTTCCCCAGAAAACACTAAGGGTACACTCATAATTTTTCTGGCTTGTCTGGCTTTGGCACAACTGGCTTTGGAAAATCATGTTGGAATGGGAATCCAAAGCTTCAAAATTTGTAAAAGCAGAGTATTATCCCCAAAGCGTCAAGCAGCTAAATGGTACCAATTTCAACAACGGTACTAGATTGTTTTTCAGACAGACAGTTTCTTTTTAAAATCTCTGCTTTTTTTTCTTGTTGGTGTTCAGCGTCTATGGTTGATCTATTTATCCTTAGAAGAGACAAAAAGCCAGCAGCTGAAGCCTTTATCTGTTACTTGACTTGACATTTCCTCAGCAAATACATTATTTTATTATTAGTTTATTTCACTAGGTTATTTATTGATTAGATATAGTTTTGGGGAGATAAACATCTTATGAACTATTACATATGTGACATAGTATAACTTATATTTGTGTATAAAAACAAACCTCAAAGACCAAAGACTACATTTAGGTTAAGTATTTTTCATTCTTAGGTTGTATTCATCACTTTTTCCTTCGTAAGTGTATCTATTGTATACATAATTTCCATATATTATGTATGACTTACATATGCACATATATATGTGAGGCAGTAGCTTGGCTGCATAAAGGATAAAAAAGATGAACTATAAACAAATCTAATCTTATTTTCCCTATTAAAATTACCAAAATGTAATATTCATAGATAACGGGGGAGGACAGAATAGGAAGGATAACAAATGTGGCGAAGGTTAATAATTGGAAAATTTTGGGTAAACAGTGTAAAGGAGTTCTTTGTATGATTCTTTTGAGTTTTCTGTAGGCTAGCTATCATTTTAAAATAGTTTTTGAGGGTCTGCTTTGAAGAAAGGTAGCTCAGAGGCCTCCTCAGTTATTGGAAGTAGACCTCAAGTTTCTTTTTGACCTCTTCACTGTTTTTCTGGAATCAGCCTTTAAACATGGGCAGAACACTGGTAAAGGTACAAGACTGAGTCTTTATTTTTCCTTTGGTTTGTTTGTTTGTTTTTTTTTTTTGCTTTTCTTCCGGTACCAGGAATTGAACTCACGACCTTGCGCTTGCCAGGCAGGTGCTGTGCCGCTGAGCTAAATCCCCAGCCCCTTTATTTTTCCTTTGGGATTGCAATTTTTAGTCAGGATTTCTTCAGCTTAGACCATTTCTTTATTTAGACTATGTTAACTGTGTACACAGTACCTTAGAGCACATGTAGTGAGTAACTGGCAAGCCGGAGATGCCAGCTGCACCTACTAGCAGGCTGGACTGATCTCTTTTCCCTCCGCTCTCATTTAAAACTCGGTCAAACCTCACTCAAACTGTGAACAAGTGGAAATCTGGACCTTTATCTTTCTTGTCTCTATATGTTAAGCAGAGACCCTTGTGTGAAGTAAGTAGTCAATTCATTCTTTTTTTTCATGAATGAATAACTATAGATTCAAACGTTTTTCTGTTGAGGATCTTCAAACTGCTCTTACTTTGCTTCTCACACTAAGGTGACCCAGATCTTCACAAGGATGAGTTAGCTGAGAGTTTGAAATTTGATCTACACGATTCTTTTTTTCTTTTTTTTTGGTTTTGGTTTTTCTCCGGTACCGGGAATCGAACTCACGACCTTGTGCTTGCCAGGCAGGCGCTTTTGCCGCTGAGCTAAATCCCCAGCCCCCTACACGATTCTTTACGATAGGTTTTCTAAACAGAACTTCAGCGCGCAAACTGCATTTAGGAAAAGGTGCACAAGGAATTTGTCAAAAGGAAGGCAGATTTGAAATTTGGAGAGCATTAGTGATCAGCTAGAATATTCAGTATGTGGTTAAATATTTAATATGTGTGACTGTGCCTCTTTAAAATCAGAAGCCCTATATTATGTATATATTTTAAATGACATTTGAACAAAAACATAAAAGGTATCTGAAAGAGATGAAGGGCATTTCTAGACTTGGAAAACCTCTCAGGTTCGATAATACCATTCTAAGTCATCTAAATTCATACCTATTATCACTTAAGTGAACACTGATGCTGCCAACTGCATCATATACAAATATTCAGATTTTTGTTTTTCACATCATCCTGAAGGTTATCTCTCCGGTTGCTCTGAAAATCAGGTGACAACCGTTTCCCATGATGCTTTAAGGGCTGTCAAACTGTCCATCAAACTGCCACCTGACCAGTCGTTCCCATGGTTCTTTTAGACTTCCAGTATGATAAATTGAAAGGCACTATTATCTGGCGGTTGTGAAGGGGAACTGTTTAGGCTTTGATAAGATATCACTACTCCCAGGTGAGAGGCGGCTGACAGCACGTCAAGGCAGAACAACACATAGAAACACTGAACGGAGGACTCAGGTTTACAAACATCTGTTGTTATTATTTATTACTTTTCTTTGGGCTTAAGTTTCTGAGTCATCCTGAGATAATTCTGGAAGAGATATTTTGCTTTTTAGGTTGCAAAGAATAATCGCTGTTCTTTTCATCTTGGGAAAAGCATCTTAAAATTGAAAATATCTTTTTGGTTCATGGCACCCGGGCTTTCTGTCTTGGAGCCAACAAGTTTTCTGTCCTCCCGATAGAGGATACAGTCATTTACCTTTTCTTTCTTTCTTTTTTTTTTTTTTTTTTAACAAAGTGTCAATAAATATTTTTCACTGGAATAAATTTTTGGTATTTAAGTATGATAAAATTAGTTATTCATGATAAGAGGCCATTATGAATACACAAATGAACAAGCTATACAAACTGGTTTTAGGGTTGGCATACATCAGATTACATTTTAATATTGAAGGTAGGGTTAATGAATCCAGTAGTAGTTCATGAGGAAATAAGGTTTGTAACTTATATTCAGAACTTCATTTTTTAATTACTCTAAATTACACTAATGTAGACCTAAAATACATGAGTTTCTATATGAATGGAACATGAACAGTGGTAAGGACCTTGTCCTCAACGGACAGATTGTAGTCAGGACTGGGATAATTACAGGACTGGGATATTTACAAAGCAAGGGCAAAATTGTGGACAGAGGCTCTCCAGAGGAAATCTATCTGAAAAGTGGGTATATTTTAGTAAAGACAACCTAACATTTGGAATTTAATTCTTTGGACTTAAATGTCCAAATAGAGTCAATAAAAAGTTGGATTACTAAAAGATGAGCTCTTGAATCTTTACCACATATACATATAATCTTACCTTATTTACGCTGTAGGCATTATTTTCTTATTTTTTTTCTTTTTCATTTGATCTTTTTCTCTTCTTTTTCTGCTAGTCTAATGACCTGTGCTGACAGGTTCATCATTTTTTTTTAAAATGTGCCTCGATATCCTGAAATGCTATCACTGTACGAACAACCGAATGTGCCCTTTGGAGATCACTCAGGGAAAATAATGTTGTTGTTTATTGTGATTTTCAGCACAATACGAGTACTGTAGTAGTTGCTAACATCACCACCTTGTGTACAAATATTTTTTTGCACGCAGTTTCCTAATGTCATTAAGCAGTATTGTAATTTCATTACATAGTAATGTGGCACTTCGATTATAGACAGCATTTAAATAATTTTGTAATTCTGAATCTGAAAAAATAAACCATGCTTATTTTTAGCCCTTTGTAATTAGTTAACCACCTAACACTCCTCTGCACTCGTATAAGAAATAAAAATGACCCAGAGCCTTTACAAACTGGGAATTTGTCAAATTACACTCTAAAATAATGATCAGAAACTTACAATAAAAAAGGAAAAGAAAGACGTTTCCTAAAGGTTCATAATAATACCAATGATGCATCTAGCCGGTCCCTGGAGTCCCTGACTGGTGAATACCTAACTCCTAACAACTTTACTCACTAAGGTATTTTTACTTTTGCCAGTAGGTTCATGTTGAAAATTATTACGTACTTGAAATAAGTATTTTGGGCTCTGTTCAAAGAAAAGAAACTCCTGAGGTTATGAATAACAAATTTTTAGCGGCTTCTGGCATTTCAGAACCGCATAGAAATAGTGTTATGATTTTCAGTAGCCCTTGGAGAGTAAGAAGGTTACACTGACTTGATTCCATCACTTTTTCAAACAGAAATACCTGGTGGTCAGTGAAGGAGATAGTAGCTAGAGGTGCGATGGTCTGAGTGTCCAATAAATTTGGCGTAGGTCCCAGACAAAATAGATAAATGTGTTCTGTTACTCTGTGTCTTACAATAAGAATTAGTTCCTTTCAGGGGAAAAAAAAAAAAAACAACAAACTTTCCCACTTGGATTTTTTTGTTGCCTCCTTTATACTTTCTTTCTTGATAAGAAAACTTATTTTAAAATTGATTGGCTTACACAGCAGTAACATAAGACCTGTTAGAAGCCCTTGGAAGTACCATCCAGTGCCTCTCGTACGCCTACAATTTTCCTATTTCAACATAAAGTTTGATTATAGAGCAAAACCCTAAAAATGTCACTAAGGATGTAAAGGAAAGCATAGCAATACAGTGGAACTTTGGTTCATGGACTCAGTTTTCCTTGTGATTCTGGTTGCAAACTCAGGTGGACAAGAACCAAATCAAATTTCCACATAAGGTCAACATTGGACCTAACCATAAAGTGTGTGTGTGTGTGTGTGTGTGTGTGTGTGTAAGAGGACATTCAAATGGAAGTTCACTGGACAGGCCCGATGGGTCTTGTGACACTGATGATTAGTTTACTTCTCTTCAAATTTTGATCTCTTCCCAGGCTCTTCTAACAGTAGATTAAGAAAATCTTGAAAAGGTAGGTAGGTTTGAGCAAATGAGTTTGAGGGTTATCTTTATTAGGATATTTTTTTTCTCATAAGTTGATCAGCAAAATCGTAAAGTAAGGCTAAATTTAAGTTCCTCTCATTATAAAATCTTGTCGTCCAGTCTTTTAACTCTGGCTTCTGGCTAGTCACACATGGGAGGGCTATGAAAAGAAGAGGGCTTTCTCAAGATTTTTTCTTATGATTTTTTTCTATTCATAACAATATTAACAGGATATATGTACAGGATATTTTATGGTTTCCAAAGCAGAAAATCTACTTGTGGGTGTGTGTCAATAGTAATTTTAAGAGGTTGGCAAGGCAAAACACTCAGCTTCGTGGGTGAACACGGATCAGAGATAAGACAGCGAGAGGTTCGTGATCACACAGGTGTTCACCGTCCCCAAAGACCTCAGCTCGCCCAATTCTTAGCTCAGCGTTACGTTCTCCGTTCTCACACTGCTCTTGTCTCTGGCAACTAGCACAACACTTACGTCATGTAGGTGTTAAGATTAAGACTGTCTTGCTAGAAGCTTGACCCATTTTGGGGGAAGTCTGTCCACATGAAATTCTCTGCTGGAGTCAGCCTGGGGCCATGCTGTCAATTATAAGAGAAAGAATTCACTATTTACTTACTCCTTACGCTCATAACTTAGAACCAGACAGAGTCACAAGAAAAAGCTGCGGCACTGAACTCACAGGTGAACGTATGTACACTCGCAGGCATCGTACATATGTAGAACTTGCAAGATACCTCATGATTTATAAAGGGTGAAAATAACATTTTGAAATATGCCTAAAGGGAATAACATTTATAGACCCTTTCTTATGGGTATTATTGAAGAAGATCTAAGACTTCCATCCAGGTGATATTTACTTAATGTTCAGTAATGGTTTCAAGTGTTTGGTAAATGGTTCCTTTTTATGCTGTATGTATTTGTGTCAAGCAATGTGATCAAACTGAAAAAAATCTATAATGTAAAACTGAGATTTATTAAACATTTATCTTTTTGATTGGTTACACACATATCTAAAATTCTGTAATAGAAATGAAAATACTGATAAAGTTTAATAGAAATGACTTTTGAGATTACAAAAATAGAATAAAATGGCCTACATTTTTAAAATCTCATTTTACTCTCTTAATTTACACATGAAAAATAAACAAATCTTGGTAGAAATTGCTCGGTGATTTCTTACTTTATCCAAAAGAGCCAGAGAATGACACGATAGATTTTTGTAGGACAAGGGGCAGCTAAATGTTCTCCTTGGCAAATATTAGAGTTCACTTTCTTTTGAGACAGGGTCTCACTATATATTTCTTACTATGTAGCCCAGGCTGGCCTTGAACTCATGGATCCTTCTGACTCAGCCTCCCAAGTGCTGGGATTACAGGTGCGCGCCACCACGCCCGGCTTAGAGGTCACTTATGTCCTCAAGACATTTGGCAAATGTCAGTAGAATAAAGATGAAGTTGAAAAACCCATCACTACTTACAAGAAAGAAGTAAACACGGAGAGATGAGCTGAGCTAACTTTATTTCTCAAACTCAAAATCAGAACAGTAAAGTCCTGTACGGGAACGGAAAGATGCTGTTTTCCTCCCACGCAGCAAGGCAAAGAAACGAAGGAGGAAAATTATTCTTCTCTGTGGGTCTCCTGTGTAAAATCTCTCTCCTTATCATCCCATCTCGTCATATCTTTCTGCAGTTTGAATTACCCTCTTTTCCACAGACTGGTAAGGCAGTGAAAGGATGTTTGTTCTGCTAATTAACTTTATTACCCTGATAACTCCCTGCAGCCTTTGACGAAAACAATTACCGTTACTCTTTTCCCCCCCACTGGCAAAAAAAAAAAAAAAAAAAAAAATTAAAAAAAAAAAAAAAAAGGGAGAGAGAGAGAAAAAAAAAGACTATTAATTAGAAACGAGGCCCAGGTCCCTGCCATGTTATCCTGCCACGTTCCCAGGCCCTCGAGCAGGATAGCATTACATTGTCAGTAGTAATTTAGCTCTCATCTGTCTCTGCTAATTATTGTCACATTCATCAAATTCATCAACAAAAGTGCTCTCAGAAGGATTGCATATTTGCAGTTAATACAGCATAAACTGGTATTACCCATCACCACATTTGTGGTGATGAGAGGGACACAACTTATTCATCCCTAATTAGAGCAAGCTGGGTAATTAATTATGCATTCCGCCTTATTACTTCTGAGTTCCCAGATATTGTTTGTCTAAAAAGGGGGAGAAAGCAGGGGAGAGAAGCCTGAAAATGCAAAAAAAAAAAAAAAAAGGGTGATGTGTTTTGTCACATGCGCTATGCCATAATTCCCACCTGACAAACTAGCTGAATCAGTGGAAAATTGCGAGTTGTCAGCAGCAGAATAAACTGCTGTAATAGCTGATTAATGATCAGCACCTGTGACAGGTGCTGTACAGGACTGTAAACTTGGTTTGATTAACAGTCACCGGACGAATAAATATTAGTGACAGTCAGCGGAGAGCGAGTTTGCTTGTTTTCTTCCCGGTTAACAAATCGCACGCATTGAAGTTATTGATATTTCTGTCTGAGACATTCGAGTTTTTTTGTAGTCATCCGGCAACATTGGCAACGAGTTCTAATGGATTGTGTTTGTTTCTGTTCTGTTATTTTATCTCAGAACTAAAATTGTATTTTGACAGGATGACCTGTAGGGGTTTAAATCCACCAGGTGTGGAAGCACAGGCTAAAAAATAACAGGATTCACACTTGGCTTAATTTATGCTCACCTGCTACTAATCTGTGTGTTCGGATTCCATATACATATAAATATAAATATATATGCATATATTATATCTATTTACATGTGTGTACAGTAACATGTAAAAGGAATATTCATGCTAAAAAACATAAATGCATGCTTAAAATGTGATCTTCACTTTGTTTTTAAATTTTTAATTGATTTTTACCCTCCGAGTTGGATATTTTCCCTGAAAATATTGGCAGTGTGAGTTCTTGCATTCCCATGTCTCAATTCAGAATTGAAGGGACCTTTTCCCGAGGCAGCCATTCAAACCTGCTGCCAGCTCGACTGCGTCTCCTGAATTGACCAGTTACAAACCAATTGGTCAGGAGGTGATTAACCTGTTTGAGTTGACTCATTATTAAACCAAGAGTCAAGTGGTGCAGAAGGCAAGCAAAGCACGAGGGACAGAAGGAGCCCGTTTTGTCCTCTTTTACAGGGTATACTAAAAGAAGACATTTGCCTTCAATGCGGTAGTTTTGAGTTTCTGGATTGTGTTTAGAAAGTTAAAGTGGTGGATTTCGGATTTTTTTTTTTTTTTTTGTCTTTTTGAGACAGGCTTTCACTATGCAGTTCAGGCTGGCCTTGAACTCACTTTGTAGCCCAGGTTGGCCTCCAATGCGCAGTGATCCTCCTGCCTCAGCCTCCTGAGTGCTGGAGTTATAGGAATGTGTCACCGCTCCCAGTAAGGTTTTGGAATTCTAAAGACCTTTTAGTAGGCTTTAGTTCTACGAACCTTAGTAGAACTTCAGTCCTAATAACTAGCACAGAGTATGAGTGAGTTATATAATCTGCCCCATGTTTTGATTGCTCAAGTGTAAATGTGGACATTTCCAACTCACCTTATCAACTTACATTAGAGGGTTACAGTGCAGGCTGAATGACATAATGTATGGAAAACATTCTAGCATAGCGCCGCATAGGCCGTGCTCAGTAATTAACCTTTTAAATTTTTATTATTATTAAATTGTCTTCAGCCTCTATTTAACTTGGTGAGTTGCTTTAAAAACCAATTAATTATATTTTTTCCTCCTCAGAGTACAAAATAACGACAAAGATTTTAAAACGAAACAACATTTATGCTTACTTATCCCTGAGTCAAAACTCAGAGGACTGATGCCCAGGTAGCAGGGATCCCAAGGTGCTACTCTGCTTACTTAGGTGCTTCTGACAAAACAAAGGTTGGAACTAGCCTGGCTGGGGGCGCGGGGTTGGTGGTGGGAGCAGAGGCTGGAGGACTTCCTGTGCTTCCTTCTGGTTTCCATAGGAGGCCTTTGCCAACTTGGGGGATGGCGGTGGAGATATGCTCTGAGTAATTTTATTTAGCACAGCTCCTAATTTGGGTGGAATTGAACAGTTAATTGCCAATAATCACCAATAGAAACAAAAATAACAGTAAGGCAAGTTTATTTTCATAATTTGTTATGTATTCATTTTGCGATTAACCATCTGACTTCACAAAAGTGACAGAAATGCTAAGCAAGGCTGTGCAGGAAATGTAACTTTCTTTCTTTCTTGTTTTTGAGACAGGGTTTCACTGTGTAGTTCAGGCTGGCCTTGAGTTCACTATGTAGGACAGGCTGGCCTCGAACTCACAGTGATCCTCCTGCTTCAGCCTCCCAAGTGCTGGAATTACAGGTATGCACCACCACATCCAGCCTTGCAACACAATTTTCAAAAAGTATTAAAGAGTAATGAAACTGTGCTGTTATAGTTAACTCAAAAAAATCAATTTCTAAAGCCAATATATAGATAAAAACAAGAATAAGGAGGATTAAAAGCCTTAGCTGTGTCTGTACTGATCCTATAAATATTTTGCAAGTAATTTTCATGAAGAATCACATTCTAAAAAAATTATTATAATTTTTTAAAAATGTGATTCTTCATGAAATTTAGTAATTTTTTAACTTATTTTTTGGAAGGATAACTTTAATCACTGGAGAACCCTGTAAAGCCATTACCAGCAGTGTTATATTATTAACGATACAAATTAGCCTCTGGTCTCCACACTTTGTAATTTAATTTAAAATTTACAGAACAGTGTGTCTTACAAAGCTTTTGAAAAAACAGCAATGTTTAATGGTAAAGTGTATCGCCTCTGTGTGCTAGTCACCAAAGCAGGGGTTCTTAATCACTGTACACTGGAATACTTAAGGGAACTTTACAAATATTGATATCAGGACTTACCGTGAAATATTTTGATTGTAGGCTTTAGAACTAGGGCTAAATACATAAAATTAGAAACTGTAATGATGGTAAAAAAGTAAAAATCTATTCAGGTTATAGAACTATTAATATGAAAAGGATGTCTAGAGACTTGCAAGCACATTACCTATGGGAGCTTTACAGTTACCTAAAGTTTCTCCTTAAAGCACCATGGTTGAGATACTTTTCTGGGAAGTAGTTAATCCAGTTAGGGAGAAAAAAGAATCTAAAGATCGTTATGGTTATGGTTTTTTTTTTTTTTTTGGTTTTTCTCTGGTACCGGGAACTGAACTCACGACCTTGTGCTTGCCAGGCAGGCGCTTTGCCACTGAGCTAAATCCCCAGCCCCGATTGTTATGGTTGATACATTGGGTCAACTTGGGGATTCTAGAGGTTTGGCTAAGTGACTCAGCAGGTCTACATCCTGGGGTGAGGAGGACATGCCCTTCCTGCTCTGGGATGTTGTTCATTGTGTCAATTTGAGAAGCTTAGAGGGTTAACTCTGTGACTGAGCAGGAGGCAGGGTCCTTACTTTGTATATATCCTAAGCCTGTGCAAGAGGAGGGCGTGGAGATTACCTGAGTGCCACATGCCCCTTAGGTGGGAGTAGCCTGCTTTTTTTTTTTGTTTTTTTTTTTTTTGGTTTTTTGGTTTTTCTCCGGTACCGGGAACCGAACTCACGACCTTGCGCTTGCCAGGCAGGCGCTTTGCCGCTGAGCTAAATCCCCAGCCCCCGGGAGTAGCCTGCTTACAGCATAGGGGAGGAAAAGAGGCTTGTTCTCACCCCCTTTTTGCCCTTGTTGCTTTTACTATCTTCCGCCGCCATGAACTGTGGCCCTCTGCCATATACCACTCTGCCTCGGAGCCAGCCAAGCATGGACTGAAACCTCCATAAACTGTGAGCTAAATAAACCTTTCCTTCCTTCATTTTGGGCGTCAGGTCTTTTGTCTCAGCAATGAGAAAAAAGTAACCAAGACAACGATTCAAACAGTAAGGACGATATTCTACATTCAACCCATATTGCTAATAAGAATGCACAGTCAGTTGCCTAGTCTGACTGGGAAATTTTAACCCAGTGCTGGTGGCCAGAACATTTCCATGGCTGGTGGGAGAACGAGATGGAGGCAGGGCTGATGGGTCATTGCAGCCTTTTCCCAAGTGGACAGCCGGCTGCACAAATGGTAACAGGAGGTCAAGAGACCTGGATACGTCTGCCATGGGCACATAGAAAGAAATCACAAATCACGTGAGAGGTGCTTCATGCCCATCTCTTTCTGCACTTTGTTCCACAGGCTTTGCTCATCGTTGGTGCATGTCACTGCAGAGTTCCTTAGTGCACCATTTCCTCACTGCGGCTCATGGCCACATGACCCAGGGGACACGTGAAATAAACTGGAAATTGCTGCTTAACTGGAGCACTGATAATGCAAATGGTGCTACAGTTCTACTAGGGAGTCGGTTCACTGTCAATTTCTACACCCATGTTCTAGAATTTCTATAGTGCTTTAGTTTAAGTTTTTAATTATTTCAAAATATTGAATTGTCCTTGCCCAAGTTTGCTCAGCACAAACAAACAAAAAGCCCTATCTCTGAAGATGTAAAGAGGACAATTCTACACTGGTAAGTGGGGTTTGGGGCGGGTCAACAAAGAATGGCTGGCTGCAGAGGGTGACCTTAGCCTGAGTTTCCAAGGTCTCCACTGCAGAGCAAGGCAGGGCCGACTATAATCTGGCCTGTCATGCAATTTTTAAGACCTTGTAAAATAAGAATTTTTTTTTTTTTTATTTTAAGTGATTGAGCAAAATATATTTTGTGGCACCTGAAAATTTCATGAAATCCAATTTCAGTGTCAATACGTGAAGTTTACTGGGACACAGTCATGCTTGCTTGTTCCCACATAGTCTGTGGCTGTTTTTGTGTCAAAATGGCCAAGTTGAAGAGCTGCATCAAAGGCCATACGTCCCATAAAACCCAAGATATTTACTATTCGGTTCTTTCCAGAAAAACTTTGCTTATCCCTACTGAAGTTTCAAAGTTTAGAAATACCTGGAATATACAATTATAAATCACTTAGGATCTTGTTACAGTATAAAGTCTGATGCGATAGGTCTGTTCTGTATTTCTAACAGGGTACTGGTGATGCTGGTGTTACTAACTTCAGGACCACTTTTTGGGGTTCCAGATGCTGTATCATGATTCTCACCTTAAAGGCTCGGGAGCCTGACGTCTACCTGATCAAGATCTTTCAAGAATGGACTCACAGTGACAAGCCCACCAGACTGGTATAAAAACCTAGAAATCTAATTTATTAATTAGTCACTGAGAAATACAATGGGACTGTTCCAGAATATTCTGTTACTATAGACATGGCACCTGGATGTCGTAGTAGAGCAGGTTATTTTCTAAGAATGAAAGGAAACAAGAGGAGATCATTGGTGTTTAGCTTGATGAAAGATCTCAGGCTAATTAATAATGAGCTAGTACATTTCTAATCAGCCTGAGCTCTTTCATTAGGCTAAACACCAATGATGCCACTAGCATGAGATTGGTGACAGTTTAAAATGTACCCCAATGACCACTGCTCACAAGAATTTATATTTGATAAAGAGCTAGAAGAAAGGAATTCAAAGCTTCCCAACACAAAGAATTGATGACTGTTTAAAGAGAGATGCTAATTACTCTAATTTGGTCATTACACATTGTATATAAATATTGAATCATCACATTGCACCCCATAAATATATACAATTATTATATGCCCATTGAAATAAATCAATACAAACCAAGTAAAAGAAAAAAGATGAGATAAAACACATGCCCTGCATTTATTTTAGTCAGGTGTGGAAAGCCGTGCAAACCCAGAAGTGAGCGGCACGCATGAAACACTTATATTTACAGGTCCATAGACAGAAGAGGTGTGGAAATCACCAGCGCTGGTCAGCAGGCAGAGACAGCAAGGTGCAAAGCTGGAGAGGGACTTTATTGTGGTTTCCAAGGGACAGAATGGGAGAGAGAGGGTGAGCACTTTAAGACTGGCCACTTGGAATAATTTCTGTGGGATCTGGGGCTTAGGCGCTGCCTGTAGATGTATGGTGCAGGGCCCTGGGGTGATTAGGGTAGGTGAATACTCGCCTGGAGAGTAGGAACTGGATGAAAGAGCTGTTGAGGGGTATGGGTTTTGAATTGGGCGGTTTGCATGTGAAAGTCGGTCTCACAGGCGAGCTGTTTGGTATCTGTACGGACAAATTAGCCTTGGTTTTTTTTTTTTTTTTTTTTT